CCTGCCGCTGCGGCCGGGCTGGCTGCTGGGGGTGGCGGCGGCGGCCCTGCTGGTGCTGGGGGCCTGGCGGTGGGCCGGGGGCCGCCGTCGCCGCCGCCGCCTGCAGCGGGTGGGGACGGTGCTGAGCCTCTTCGTGTACCCGGTGAAGTCGTGCCGGGGGGTGGCGGTGGGACGGGCGCAGGTGACGCCAATGGGGCTGCGGAGCGGGGAGCTGCGGGACAGGTACTGCGGGTGCGGCGGGGGTGGCGGACGCAGGCCGGGGGGCAGGCCCTGCGGCCAGGCCTCCGCTCCGGCCTTCGGCGGGTGTGGTGCCGGTCCGGCCGTGCCCGGCAGGCCGCAGGGCTGCAGGGGGGACTCCCCGCCACCCGCCTCGGCCTCCGGCCGCTGGTGGAAACGCGTTTCTGTGTCGTTTCCTCCTCCCCCCTCCCTTTACGCTACAGGTTTTGGCTTGTGACTAAGGAAGATGGGCACATGGTTACGGCTCGGCAGGAGCCGCGGCTGGTCCTCATTTCTGTCAGCTGTGATAACGAGCACCTGATCCTGGAGGCACCAGACATGAAGAGCCTGCGCCTGCCTCTAAAGCTTCCGCGGAAAAACCCCGTGCAGAACTGCAGGTACTGGAAAAGGGTTAGTTTGGGTTGGTTTGGGTTTTTTTGGTTTTTTTTTTTTTTTCCTCTCCCTACGCTCTCAATACTGCCTCTCACCTGCTTTGTTTTTCAAGACTCTGTGATGGTTTCTGTTTTCTTACGCAGAAATTGGAGGGTGAAGGTTGGGTGTTTCTGCTTCTTTTCTGTGGGGGTCTGTCTCCCCATCTGCATAATGGAAAGGGGCTTAGATCAGTGCCTGTAGTGACCGGGCAAGGGGCAGTGCTTTTAAACGAATAGAGGATAGGTTTAGATTATACACAAGGAAGAAACTTTTCACTGTGAGGGTGGTGAGGCACTGGAATAGGTTGCCCAGAGAAGCTGTAGGCGCCCCATCCCTGGAGGCATTCAAGGACAGGTTGGATGGGGATTTGAGCAACCTGGTCTGGTGGGAGGTGTCCCTGCCTCTGGCACAAGGGTTGGAACTGCATGATCTTTAAAGCACCTTCCCAACCTAAACTATTCTGTGAAATTCTCTGCCATGTGTTACACAGGAGTCCAGGATTGATTGTCTAGTTTTAATCTGCTAAACACTGATCAAAACAAATCTCTGAAATAGATGATGCAATATTCAAAAGACGTACATTATACATCCACCAAATGAACTGTGATCTTCAGTCTTTGTGGACTGTCATGTTTACTCGTTTGTGTTTAATTCCAGTGTTTTAATTTCCTTGAGTGAGCAATGGCATCTCAGAGCCTCAGTCATGCTTAGTGGTATTTCTTGGTTACCACTAGTATATGCATCAACATTTTTGGATACAAACTGGCCAGTTGGAATTGTTTAGCTGTTGGGGTTTAAATTCCCTCACCCCTGTCTGTAAGCATTTAACTGAGTTGCCAAAGTTAATAATTTGGTCGCCCAAGGCTTGCTCTGTGATCGCAGGGGAAAGATGGGCATCTGCAGAGAGCAGGTCATTCCCCGTAGGTGCTGTCTCAAAAGGGGCTTCAGCTGAAGGGGTTACAAATGTAGTCATTCAGCTGTGTTTGGGCCTAGTTATTTTATCCACATATTGAAATCCTTGCTGGAAAACTGAAAAGGGGAAGTGGGAAACAATCTCCCTGTTTAAATGTCAATTAATGTGTTTAGTAACTATTTCGTAACTCTAAGTGGTGTTAGAAAGATACTGATAAGTGTTTTTCCTTTGGACAGCTGCTGTGCTTAAAACTGAAACAGTAGTGGAAAATAACTGCAGTTGCTAACTTTTGGCATATATCTGTTGCTGTGGAAACTCTTGATGAGCATAGCTCAGTATCTCTGTTTATACAAGGCAGGTGCAAGTTACAAATGGTAGCATTTCCCATGGAGAAATAGGACAGTCTTTTAAAAATCTGTCTATAATGTGTATATGTTAGCCAATGACACACGCTCTACAAAAACATATCCTTTTCAAGATTTTATTTTCCTAAAATTTGTTGTGCCATTAGAAAAAATATTTAAATAGACTAAATGCATTTCAGTAATGAAAAATTATCTTGGATTTTCCAATTTTAGATCTCAGTGACTTGTTTGTCTCTTAATTCTCTTCTTTGCCTTAAGCCAGAGAGTGTAATCTTTTATTTAAAATTGCTAGAATTTGGGAATGCAAATAAGCCAAAGTTGGATGCCTATAAACGGACTTTAAAGATTACCCAGTTGCCTGGTATTGTAGGTGGTGTCATATGATGTGACATTAGCAATACCCATAGTTAAACGTTGTCTGGTAGGTTTCAGGAGAAATCCCAAGGTTTTGTGTGACTCTGCTGTGTGCTTAAGCAACTTGCCATTCGTCAGCTTGAGGCTGATTCTTTCTGAGCCACTCAGCAGTTCATAAGAACAAGGTTTGGGAATGGTACTGTGTTCAGGCAAATGAAGATTTGGCTTTTTGCTCCAAGATTCTTCCCTTCCAGCCTGTGGGAGGGAGAAGCTGTCTTACTGTGCAGACTTGGATTTACTCCCCTGCTGGGTGAGCACAGTGCCTTCAGGTTGTGCCCGGTAGTTTGGGGCCAAGGCAATGCAATTGTGCAGCTGGTTGCAAAAGGCTGTGCAGGTGCTCATCTTTAAAACCGGTAAGTCCAGTTGGGGGTTTTACATGGATATGTAAAAATCCTGCATTTGGGGGAGTTAAATGCAGGGTTGAAGCCATTGTCTAGGCACAGTTTCTATTTGTGCAAATATTGAAGGGGTTTTTGTAGCCTTCTGGTTAGAAGCTGCATGTTCTTTGTTTGTGCTCTTTGTCATTATGTATTGCAATACTTAAATTGCACGATGGATGCCCATGGATACCTATAGCACTGAGTGCTCAGAGCAGGTCTGCTTTGTGGGTGAAAAACAGCAGTGTTGGGAGCTGTGAGACCCTCACCTCCGTGGTCAGAAGGTACACAGGGGCTGAGAGAACAGAGGGAAGAAAAAGGCAGTTGAGTGCAGACTAGGGCAATGGCTTTTAGTCCCAGCTTGTGCCACAGGGCTGGTACAGGGATCCCAGCAAAGAGGAGAGCAGGGGTGTTGCTGCCAGCACCCTAATCATCTGTCTCTCCCCCAGATGCATGAAGGAGAGGTCCTGGAGCTAGGCTCAGACCAGGTAAACTGTCTGGGCATCTCTGGGCTTCCAGCTGTGCAGCATATGGTTGCAAAGGTAGAAGGAAATGCAGTGCATTTAGGTCAGAATCACTACTTTGAAGAGAGTAGTAAAACGATTAAGTGACTGTTGTGGAATTTTATTGGAAGCTTGAGTTGAGATTTACTTTTCCCCCCCCCACCCAGGAAAACATGTCTTGCGTAAACTTGTGTTTTGCTGCCAGTGGCTTTTTATGCCCCATGGACTTTGCTTCCATAATAAATTTTTAACCTCTTTTAGCATATAGAATAACTCTGTATCTTAAGTTTGAGCTTAAGAGTTTCACTCAGCTGTGGCTAAATTTTTACAGCACTAACATCTGAAGGAAGGCTTCCCTAACAATTAGGAATATTTACAATTAATAACATTTGTAAATGTCAATTACAGTAACTAACCACATCCTTTCAAACTGTCATTCATTTTCTGAAATTAATTACCTTTCAGCTGATTTCTGGGTAGAAGTCTTTTGGTGGTGCAGTCACGGGCAAACGCAAGAGTGGACTGGTTTTTTTGCTTATAAGTATGGCAAACAGGTTTGTTACTGGTCATTTATGTGACAGCTCTGGGCACCTAGAAGGTGTCTCATGGCTCATTCTTTCATCAGTGGGTGTCACCTGGCCACGTCCATGTTACTCACCTTCCAAAACAAGGTGACTGTAAGGAGATTGCACGTTGGGAGCGATCCCTGTGCCAAATTCAGGAACCAGCTTTCCCATCATTATAATCCAGGCAGTTTGATTGCTGTGTCTTGCTGCTACTTTAAAACAAGTTGTTTGCATAATAAGCACGTTTGAGCCTTTGGCTTCCCAACTAACTTGCTGATATGTCTTGTGGTCCTTCAGGGTGTTTGGAGTGGATATCCAGGGCAGGGACTGTGGCGATGAAGTGGCTCAGTGGATCACTACTTTCCTGAATTCCGAGCCATATCGACTGGTGCACTTTGAGCCCTCCATGGTGCCAAGAAAGTCAAAGGACGTAATAAACCTTTTCCGAACCACAGATGAGGTAAATGAATGTTCTTTTTCTCAGAAGTACTTTATTTTAACCATTTTCCGCCCACCCACCAACATCTGCCCATTCCATCATTGGTCATGGAGCCCAGTTTAGCAAAGGGTGTAGTCACATACTTAAATCACGTGAATATTCTCCTTTTCTGTGATGAGATGACTTGTTTAAATTCTACTTTAAATATGTTCTCAGCTAAAGAGTCTGATACTGATATTTGAAGAGGAACTATTATGTTGCAGAATAACATTCCTTTTGTTACTCAGTCGATAGAAAAAAGTTAGGTTTTTAAAGATGTTTTGATGGTGCAATCTGTGTTGCACAGGAACCTCCGTTCCATATCCCTGTTAGGTCTAGGAGCGTGCCAATAGGAGTGGTGTTGCCTTGTGTTTTTTTGAAAGGAAAAATGCTTAACCTGAGGCTCTGTAGTTTTGGGCCTAGCAATTAAAATCTGAAGAGGGTTACAAAGGTTTCATCTCTCTCTTTCTGTGGGAAGAGTCTTGAAGGTGTGATACTAGAGAAAGTTAATGAAATGCTAGAATAAGAGAAACACAGGGGGAGGGCTATACATTAACATTCTTGCCAAGATTTATTTTTCTTTTCCTTTTCCTGTGGAGCTAGCATATACAGGAATATAGGAGTTTTCTTTTAATACCGTCCATCGGCCTTGTTGGCTGAAATGCCAGCCCTTCCACTTCCAAGCAGGCTTAGGCTGATGAATGGACAGTTACAATTTAATGTTGCTGTTATGTATGTGAAACTCCCTCTGGTGTTATGATAAGATAGATTTATTACATAGAAAAATCCAGGTAGTTGGTTATAGTCAACAAGAGAAGTTCAGCAGGTCCATAAAAGTCTTAAGTGCCTTTCAAAACTTTTTTACTGATACACTTAGTTCAATCTGTAACACCCAGAATAAATGTCTGGGACATGCATATGGTATTATTTTGTAAGAAGCTGTGGTACCTTGTATAACTTCAATTTAATTCTATAAGTAGAAGCTTAATTTCACAATTTGAGCAAATAAAACTTGAGGTGGTTAATGAAATAGGAAAGGGCATGTTGTTTTTACTGTTAACCTACTTCAGGAAATGAAAAGCTGAATGCAGCAGCCTGACCATCAAGCCACTGGTTCCAATGTATCTGTCCTTCTGCCACTCAGTAACTCTGCTCCCACGCTCTTACAGCAGCCTTAGGATTTGTTTGTGGTTTTACATAGGTTGCCTATCCTGACTGCAGCCCAGTCCTGATCATCTCAGAAGCTTCGCTGGATGATCTAAATACCAGGCTGGAGAAGAAAGTTAAGATACAGAACTTCAGACCGAATATTCTTGTGACGGATTGTAGTGCTTTTGAAGAGGTGAGATAACTGTCTTCAGGGTCGTTTTGAAGGCTTGGTTACGTTTCTTTGTAAATGAATTACCGTGTTTGATGGTGCCTACCAAGATGAGGAGAGCTGTTATTCTGTGACTCTTACAACTGGATTCCAGAGAGATACAGTTTCTGCTCACATCAGTGCAGGGAGGAGACAGGTCTGAGAGTGCCTCTTTAGCTTAGCAAGGGATAAAATAAATATTTAAATGACAGGCAACTACTGAAAGTTCGTCTGTAAGTGTGAAGTAGGGGAAGCTATGCATGCTGTAATTGATCAATTAATGATACAAGTGAACAATTTGGAAATTGACAGTGTGATGTTTTATAGCCTTTGGTGTAGGAGTAAAACTGACCCTTGCAATACCACGCTTAGTCACTGCGTCTCTGACACTATTCTGGTAGTTCAAAAACCACTGACTAGCAAGGTATCTGGTGATTAAGTGAACTGGTGATGGTGGCTTTTAAGTGGTTTTATGTAATGTTGCCATTTTTCCAAAGAATTTGGTCTGGATAGATCTGATATTTTCCCAAATCTAAGAAGTTCCTGAAATGGGACTGGGTTTTTGTCTTCCAAGAAGGATTGCAATAGGAAGCTGGTGTAGACAAGAGGCAAAATCTTACTCCCACTAAAAATTTCCTTTCTGCAGAAATGGTGGCTTGCCGGAGGTCACAGATCAGATTATCACACGTACAGTAAGAATAAACTTGCTTTAGGTTCAGACAAGGGCATGCTGCGGAATGGGATTTATTGTTTGTATGTCTCCCTTCCCAGATAGCGGGTCCTGAATTGGATGCATGTGGTGACTGTAGAGTTTTCATTAAAATAGTAGCCTGATACGTACTTGTTTTGAAGGTTCAAGTAGAGGAGGTGGTCAGGAATGGTGCTGCTGCTTCTAGGAGTGACTGGGCCACTCCTGGGAAAATGGTTGCATGTGGCTATGCCTAACCTGTGTGTAATGTTTACCTTTCCTCAGGACACGTGGGAGGAGATCGTTATCGGTGATGTGGAGATGAAAGGGACAGTGTGTTGTGCCAGGTAATCATTTGAGATTGTTATTTTATATAGATGTGTAGAGATTTATAGTAAGAAGCCATTGTTGATTTGATGGTGTCTGTCATTGCAGGTGTATTTTAACAACTGTTAACCCGGACACTGGGGTCCTGGACAGGAAGGAGCCCCTGGAAACACTGAAAAGGTTGTAAAAATACCAGTGCTGCTTAGGCTGTGGGAGAGGGTTTAGGCTACATTCCAACAGATGTGAGACTAGTGTTTTAGAAGTGGTTTGAAGTATGTGCAGGACATAATAACGTAGTGTAAAGGTCTGTGTGTATTGGCTTCCATTCTGCTTTCTGCAATTCTATACGGTAAGAAAATTCAGGAAGTTCTCTCTTCATTCTTGCAAACTTCACATTCCCTGTCTCTTTGATCTCTGCTAGGGTGAGTGCCTGGGGTAACAGGTATTTAAAGTATTTAAAGGTCTAACTTTGCAACTTTGGCATTTCTTTTCATAAAGTCTTTGTATATGTATTATACACAGATGTATGAACACAATCGAGCTTTTTTTTCTCTATTTTAACTGCTTGTTTCTCTTAATTGTAATATTTATTTAGTTTTTAGTCTGGTAGAGTGACCAAAACAGGCATCACTATTCATATGTTCTCTCTCTGATTACCGATATTTTGATGTTTAGAATTTGCTACCACTAATTCTAAAGAAGTTCGCTTGCTCTCTCTGCAGTTACCGCTTGTGTGACCCGTCTGAGCGGCACATATACAAATCCAGCCCTCTCTTTGGAAGATACTTTGCTGTTGACAGAACTGGCACGATTCGAGTTGGAGACCCTGTGTACAAGATGGTCCCATACTGAGTGAGACTTTGGTCAGAGGATGCCTTCTCATTTTGATATGCAAATTGTTTTCCCATGAACATATTCACCAGCATAACTTTTTCTTACTCTTTTCAATACTTTTTTGTGCTATGTTCCTTTGTGAGGTGCAGGGGGGGCTTTGAGGCTATGAAGTGCCAATTATTTCCCATCATGTCATGTAGCAACCATGTCTTTAGTTTTTCTTGAGGCTGTGATAGAAGAAAATCTTACCCGGGACAGACATTGCAGCACTACAGTGAGTATCACACCTCCTAAAATTTTGTGTCAAGCTTGATACTGGAGTCCAAAATCATGTACGAGGGCTTTGCATCATGTATTAGATATATTACATAAAGATTACATATACATATTACATATATAGCCCATAAGAACCGCAACAACAGTTGTGCTGAGTGTGAAGTATGTTGGTCATGAAGCTGCTTTCCAGGGGAACAGGGGGTGCAGATGGCGAGGCTCTGTCTTAGATTCCACCCTTTGGTCCTAAGCAACTTACCTTATCTGTGCTTGGAGGTACTTTCTTGCCATGTTTCTCATACTGCAGTCACTTCCTGAAGATTGCTCTTCTCTTTTGAGGTACCAGAAGAAGGGTTGTGAGCTGACTAAATGCTGCTCTGATCTAGAGGTGGGAACTATGTCTGATGGTGTGTAAGGCCAGGGGGTTCATTTAGTTTGACCTCTGCTTCACAGAGTTTGAACCATCAGTTTTTTCTTGTGCAAAGCATACCATATACCATAACTGCTAGGCTGTAGGGGAGTGATAACGTATCAGAACTTCCAGTTTGACTAAAAGTTGGATGATGCCAGTGGTATCTCTGCTTTAAACATTACCTTTTTTTTTTTTTTTTAAATAAGTGGACTCCAAGACCAAAGCCAGCCATCTTTCAGATGCTTGACTGCCTGTCACTTTGTTAAGGATTACTAGATCTAGAAAGAGTGCTCAAGAGGAATGTAATTAAGTGTGAAGAAGGACAAATCATGACCCAATTTGTTGTTTAGGTTCTTTGTTTTCTTTTGTGAGTATGAAAATGGAGTTTTGCTGTATGTTCACAACTCAGACCTGTAAAATGAAGAGCCGTTGTGGCTTTGAGCAAATTTGGATGGATGGATGAGGTGAGCCTAAAGCAAACATGTGGGGAAAGTAGTTTTGTTATTTGTCAACTCCAAGTTGCTCCAAACATCCTTTTGTTAGCAGAATGCTCTGCGAGTGGTAAGTTTTCCTGTGACAGAACAATGCCTGGTTCAGACTGCAGGTTGTGTATTTGTGTGTTGTCATGCCTGATGCAGCAGCCAGTGGAAGTGACAGAAAAAAACATCTTTTGACAAGGACAGCAGTTCTGAGATTCACTTTTAAAAAGCATATGTTGAAGATCCTTAATATTAGAACTGAGACCTCATGTTATTCCTAATGGTATTATTAACAAAGACAGCCTGCTGGCCTGCCAGAGCAATTAGCTAAGTGTGTGTCTCTTCATTAAGTCAAAGAAGCGGAAGAGAGCTGAATTTTTGCCTCTGGCCAAACATTTTTTTCACTGCTGTGTTAGCACCACATTAGAATTTAGGTAAGAGAAACTGTGTGTTATAGATCGTGCTGCCTCTTACTACGCTATCGATTGGGGTAGTTTGGAAACAGGGCTGTCTCTCCAGTGAGAAGCTGCATCCTCATTCCTGTTAAGAAAATGCCATAGATCTAAGCCCCTGGTATATCCCTGCAAAAGCCCCTTAGAAGAATTAGGTGAGAATCCTAAAACAGGTGTGTATCTGAGTACAACATCTCACAAATGACACTTAAATCAATTATGTGGTGAAAGAGGGCCATTCTGGGAAGCAGAGAGTGTAATTCATGAACATTACAATATAAATATCTTCAGATAAATGTTGAACTACTGTAACTGTAGGAATTGTATTTGATTTTGCTAAAGCCATTTATGAAGTTGACTGAAAACATGTTAATCATAAAGCACTGGTTTTTAAATTGTGTACTTAAAAATTTTAATTGCTTTTTTAATTCTAGAGGAAGAAAACAAAAGTATAAACTTCTGTTGAATCCAAACTTTTGTACAGTGTAAAATTTGTGTATCTTGTTTATTCTTTGTGTGCTGTTTTGGCATTTAACTTCTGCTGTTTCCAGAACCTCATATGTAATTAACAGCGGTGATTATTCTTTTTTTAATCTTTCCTCTAAGTTTAGGAGAATATGCAGATAAACAGAGGAAGCTATATGCCTAAGAGAGCAGAGCCATCAGATCTAAGTGGTCTTCAGACACAATTTTACAACCTTTATGATCTGGATGATGAAAAAGTTGTTTGCAGATGACTTTTTTCCACAGGCATATGAAAATAGGGCAAAATACATTTGAAAGGAGAGAAGTTTGGTGCAGTCAGCGCAGGGGCGTCTCAGTCAGCTTGGGCTGAGCTTGTGGTGAAGGTGGATATCTTCTGCCACAGCTGAGGCTGACGTGAAGCCATGAGACAGAGAAAGCTGAGGAAGTTCCAACTGCAGCGAAGGGAAGGATGGTGTCAGTGTGGCAAGTGGCAGTTTGCTGGGTCAAGAGGACCAGGAGTGGTTGGAGGAGGAAAGGAGGTGAGCGAGGCTCAGGTACGTAGAGTGTTGGGGCAGGAGCTGTGGATCGAGGCAGGGAACTGGGTGGTTGCACGTTCTCCAGGTGATTCTGTGCAGACAGGCTGGGAATGAGCCGTTAGTTGTGCTTCCCAACTGCAGAGAGCTGCAGACGTGGGTGGCACAGCTGAATATTCGTCTTGTGTGGGGAACAGAGGGGGTTGGCCCCTGCACCCCAGGAGGTTGGAGGGAGCAGTGTGTCTGAAGCCCTGCGCTTCGGAAGTGTGGCTGCAGCTGGGGTGCCGCCAGAAACACTCCAGAGCCTCAGTACCTGTGGCCCTGGCTGGGAGCACCTGAGACCCAGACCCCATGAGAGCTGCAGGCAGGGTTCTGGCTGGGGCTTCTTTGGGTGCTTTGGTCCTCCAGAGTGGTGGGAGGTGGAACTCAATGGTGCTGTAAGCTCAGAAGGGGCCTGGTACCACCTCTCTTCCCATGGAGTCTCATTTGCACACAAAACCTTAGTTACTTAGCTTGACCATATAATTCACTGCTGTTAAAGCTTGTAATTCTTTTTTTCATTTGCTTTTCATGACGTCAACAGAAAATTATCACTTCTTTATTTGCACAGGTATGTTAAAGTAGGATTTCATTTTACTTTAAAAAGAACCCCACCAACACAAAACACCTCCACCCCAAAAAAACCCACCAACCAACAAACCCCAAACCCTAAAATCAAAGAATCCTGGTTTGTTTGTTGTTTTTTTTTTTTATTTTATTAAGAAAAAGATTCCCAACAACTCAGCTCCAAGCAGTAGAAAAGCTGTATTGCTGATCAACAAGTGCAGTCCTTTACTTAATCTGTGTAATCATTACAGAGCCATCTACCAGCATCCCTTTACTTAAAAGCATTTTCCTAAAAAGCCCCATCACGTTTAGTGTCCTTACAAGAGCCTTGGAACGCTGAAGCTTGCCCAGTGTTCCTCTGACCTTTCTGCAACCCAAAAATAGCTGTTCCTCCCCCACAGAACTGTCTACGCACATAAATACATTTGATGCCAGCTACATTTGAAGAGAATAGGCTATATTTAAAGCTGTTAGTTAGCATTGCAGATAGTTCCTGCCCTCCCCAGCCCCCCTGGGTTTGTTTGCCCTTTTTAAATGGAGTAGGTTTGGACAAAGTATGTGTATCTGGCATGGCCTGTTCTAAAGGGGCCTCCCAGAAATGCTACTTAGTGTATCCTCTGTTAATTGGGGTAAGAGAGGTCAGTGTGTTTTATCTGTTCATCCCGATGGAGCTTGATTTGAAGATGTCGAGATACATACATTTCAAAAAGGAGGCAGTGTGCCCACAGGTGAGTCTGAATACAGCCAAGCTTCTACCAAGCTCATTTATGCTTTTAAAAAAATAAAATTTGATTGTTCAATTTTTTTATAATAGACTTCAAATAATGATTTTATTTAGAGTTTATTTTGTTTGGAGTGTCAGTGTGTAGTCTGCTTATTCTCCCCAAAACTACAAAATCCTGGAAATCTCTACAAAAATCATACAACACAGATGTGGTTTTGAAAAAGCAATTAAATTCCTGCTGCCCTTTCTCGCTTTCTGTAGGGGGTAATGCAGTATGGACACTGCATTTCCTTCCCTTGGAAACCCTTGCTGTAGTTGTATGTGTGTGCATTTATCCTTGAATGTACAAAAAATCAACCTGTGTTTCAAAATGGCAGGGTTTGCATTTATACTCAAATACTTCATCAGGCTCCACTGCTCCAAACAAATGTCTGAAGGCATCTCAAGTTGGCAAGAAAATCAGCTCTGACCACTTTATTTCCATCCCTCATTGCTTACTTTTTCCCATGAGAAAATCCCTTTGAATGACTTAGTTAACTTGTACAAGGGAATTGAAGCTCCTTTCCTGCAAACTGTGAAGGTTCCATGGCTTGCTGTTCTTATGCCATGCTCACCACAACCTATTATAGATGTGCACATAGTTTTTTTGTTTTCTTTCCTGGCGGGTGTCCACCAAAAATTGGAGGCATCACTTTTGGTGTATCTTCTGGACTAGAAGGCTCCTGGCGTCTGAGAAGTAAAGCAAGGTGGTACGTAGTGTCCCAGCCCTGGATGGAGTTATGGTGATTAGCTTTTGAACGTTTCAAACTTTTATTTTGTCCCTTTATTTTTCTTGGTCTATTTTTCTTTCTCTGTCTTTAGTGACTGAACGTGACCTGATGTAAGGGACCTTAAAGGAACCTTTTTCTAAGTGTCCAGCCTCAGTGGTCACTGCTGTGCATTAAGTCTCTCTCCATCATGCAGGTGGCACGTCCCTGACTGTATTGGAGTACTTGGTCATCTTTTCTGCAGGTTGAACATCTTCCCCAGAACTGTAGTGGCTCTTAGTCCAGTTGCCTTTGAAGCCTTTTGGGGTGTCGTGTGGCTGGATGGGAAGCAGGTGATGGGATGGCGTTGGGAGACTCTGCTCACCTTAGTGTGTGGTGAGGTCAGGGAGAGGAGAGGGAGAAGAAGGTAGTGATAAGATAAGGGGTGGCATCCTCAAACTGGAAGAGGGTAGATTTAGATTAGACATCTGGAAGAAGGCAAATGTCTGACCTTCCTTTTGGCCAGAAGTTCAGTATTTTTAACGTCATTCTTAATGTTAATGACATAACATCTATCCATCAAAACGTTCTTTTGATGGATAAGAACAAATGGAAAAAAGCACTCTTTGTATGTAACAAAAAAACCCAGATGCGTTTCCACTACTTTTTGGGAGAGCACTGGGGAGATCCCTCCTGGGAAGCAGCAGGATGCTGCTCTGGCTGACTGCAATGGAGGTGGTGGAGGACACTGAGAATCTCTAGTGTCTCTTGGTCTTTATCTCAGTGGTCACAAGCTCATGGAACTGTTGTTGGGTGGTGTTTCTGCAGCCAACTGGTGGGGCAGGAAGCCACTGCTGGGTTAGAGCCAGGAGTCACTTGTCAAATACTCTGGTGGCCGATCCGTGAAGGGCTTGTGGCACCCTGGGCAAGTTAACGTGGCACCTGGCAGGCCTTGGGGTTCTGTCAGACCCTGAGGGGAACGGGTGATTTTCCTCCCTCTTTTGGAGAGGGGCAGGGTGGAACACGGGAGGTGGAATGCTCTGATAGTAACAGTTGGCTCCTGCCAGTGTTTTGCAGCCAGAAAGTGGTGGCTCCTGGAGGGCTCCCAGTCTTTCCTCAGAGACAGGAGGTTGTGTGTGTCACAAAGGGTATGTGTGGTGAGCCTGCAGCATCCAGGGCCTCCAGCATGTCTGCAGGCAGACTGCACGACAACTAGGTCTGGAAGCCCCACGGTGGTGCCAACCAAGGGGACTCCAAGGCAGCAGTGGGGGAAGGCTGGCACCCAGGGCTTTGATGGGTTGAGTCCAGAGTGGAGGTAATGCATGAATCCTGCTGAGGACTATCTCTGGTTCTCAGCTCTGCTCTGAGGAGCTTGGATTGGTGCTCCAGGGGGTGCTCTTGTCCTGTGCTCAGCTTTGTGGGGTAGAGACACCTTTAGCTCCTTTTCCCTTGAGTTATGGGTTGTAGTTGTTTCCTTTTGTGAAGCAAAGGTGGGTGATAACAGTGTGTTGTCATCATGGGTGGCCAGGGCTGATCCACACCTTCACTGGGATGGAGGCGAAATTGCATTTTGTTCCTTCAAGGAGGAGGGAAAAAGGCTCTTCTAGGATTTAATGCTGTCTGTTGGAACAGGAGCAGGAATGGCCTCTCTGCCAGGTGCCCAATCTCCCTAACTCCACTGCAGCCTGAGCATTCTGCCCTCACAAGGAGGTAGGGGTTGAGCAGACCCATTTCTGTGCCAGCCCTCGGTGGTGGCTGAGCTTGACCAGGTTTGACTCTGGGAAAACCTTTCTGAGGGGTAAAGAGGGGCAGAAGCTGAGCTGGATTGTGTAGGCACCAAGAGAGTCTTTGCTGTTGGACAAAACTTGCCCAGACATAATTTCGTAGCAGCTCCTGCCTTAGCACAGGGATTAAATGGAGTGATTTATCACAGTCTTTTCCATCTCCTTGTTCTATTCCTTTGTGTTGCTACTTCAGCCTCCACATTCTCTTTGTACGTCCAAGTGCAACACCATGGCAGTGATGTCCTCTCCTGAGGGTGCTGGTGCCACAGACACGTTGTGACCTCCCTTTTCCCTGCTAATAAAACCACGTCAGGCTGTGCTGATGTGCTCTCTCAAATAGAAGTGGTCTTTGGGGGTTTAAGTAAAATGCGTGGACAGGTACAGCACAGAGGGCAGGGCCTGGAAAGGTGCTTAAAATGGTGTAGCCTATGAGTTCAGCCACTTCTATTCTGGTGGTTTAAGTCATTAAAAACAGATGCTAATTCCTGCCTATGATGGAATAAATAACTTTGGATGGAAAACTTTGTACAAAGAATAAACAGACTAAAAGGGATTTAGATTGTTGTTGAACTCTCCTTGCACCTTCCGGGAAAAACAAACCAAGAAAACACACACAGCCTTGGGGATGTGTAA